ATTATTAATGTATTTTATCTTCAAGAGTCAAATCCATTTAATATATTCTATACTATCCTCTATTAAAATAATATAGTATTATCTCAATTCTTATTTATAAAATTTAACTTATAACAAATATTTATTATTTTATATAAAATTTAATTCATATTATTTATATATTAATTATTTTTAAATTAAAATACTCTTAATTAATATGTATTCTCTTAATTTTATAAAATGTATTAATTATAATTTTTTTAAAGAATATGTATTTTAGTTGGTCATGAAAAAAGTGAAAATCAATTAAAAGACATAAATAATAAGGAATGATTTTAGAAATAAATAAATAAATAAATATGACAAATAAATTATTATGAACTAAAATAAATATTTTTAAAATTTAATTAATTAAACAATTAGATTTTATACATAGAGATGAAAATAATATTAATCAATATCTTCACTCGTTTTTATAATAAACAATTGACAATATATATTATACTATAACTTGTTTATTATTATAAAAAAATTTGGATAAAATATAATTTAATTAGGTAAAAATAAATTTTCAAGAATTGCATGTAAGTTTTATATTAATATATTTTAACTTGTTTTTGTAAGTTATTTTATTTAATTTTATATAAAAAAATTACTTATTTTTTATTTATATTATTTTATATTTATCATCTAATTTATTATTAATTTTATCTAACATTTTCAATCTAATCAATTAGTTTACTGGCTTCTAACTTTTTTTTTATATAAGAACAAATTTTAATCCATTTCATGTAAAATCTATTGCAAGATACAATAAGGTAATATACTTATAGATCTTACGGCAAATAATGAATTCTGATCCCTTTACCAAATTTAGACAACAAAATTAGTTAGTCTTTGAACAATATGTTGAGAAAAACATAAGATATGTTCAATATTTCTTACTATGTTCTCTACTAATGTTGCACTTTCTTTCCTCGTAATATCATTTTTACACCATAAAATTTGTCATGTCTTACTTTTTTTCTCATTAATTTGTAATTAGTAAATCAAAACTAATAACTACAATTTAACCATCTATGTCACATGCTAAAATATTTGAATATAGTGTGTTACATAAAAAGATAATTGACATGTTATACGTATCAAAATAGTTAGATAGGTAATTAACATAACGATAATATAAGAATTTTGTAAATAACGAAAGGTAGAATATAATTTCACTTCATAATTATGATCATTTTTGATAGAATTTAAAGATTGACTTATTAACTTTGAGCAAACTCATTGTAACTTTAAACAAATACAAAGATTATTTTTGTTCATTACACGTTAGACTTTTGACTAAAGTGGGGTCGTTGACCAACTTATTTACGTAAATGGGGATACTTTGAAAGTATTTACGTCTTTGGGGCTGTCTACAACGGTGTCGCTATGGCCCATAGCGACACCCATGCCACGTGGAATTTTTATAACTCCAGATAAGCCATGAAAGCCATATTAACCAAGTTGTTGCAGCCCATAGCGACACACACAGCTTGAATAAAGTCGCTACAGCCCACAGCAAGCGGCCTAGAGAGGCCGGCACAACAATACTCACAACATCAGCAGGCGCCTAGAGAGGCCAGCACAACAATACTCACAACATTAGCAGGTGGTTTAGAGAGGCCAGCACAACAATACTCACAATATCAACAGGCGGTCTGGAGAGGCCGGGACAACAATACTCACAATATCAGCAATTGGCCTGGAAAGACTAGCACAACAATACCTCACTATCGCAAGAGAAGCAATTAGAGCCATGGCTAGGAGCATCTACTCGAAGACTGAAGATCAGGTGTATAGTTTGTCACCCTTGTTACCCAATAAAGTACGCAACCCAACACTCAACTACTCTAAAGGGCGAGGATACAAGCAAATACACCTATCCAAGGGAAGCAACATAGAAGTGCCAGCACAAAGAGACAGAGAGAAGACCCGGACAAAATGTCTACGTCTTTACTTTCCTTTGGAAAAGCAACATATATCTATTCCAAAGGACAAGTAAAGAGGGGCAGTTATAGACACCCAATTTCATCCGGGGGCATACAAACAAGGAAATGGAGCTCTGTTATGAAGGGAAGGAGCTCCCGAAGCATGCAAACAACAGGACAGGACATCAACAGAACGGGCTGTTCCAAAATCGGAACGAGCTGTTCCAAGCCACAAAAAAGGCCTAAAAATCTAGTCTAGAACAGGCCATTCCAAAACCAGAACGGGTCGTTCCAAAACCAGAACGGGTCGTTCCAAACCAGGCAAAAGGCCTAAAAATCTTAGGCTGGAATGGACCGTTCCTAAACCAGAACGGGCAGTTCCAAATCGCTAAATAGCCCAAAAAACCTAGTTTGGAACAGACCGTTCTAGCAATGTATTTTTTGTGTTAATCTCAACCCTAGAACAGGCCGTTATGGTTTCAGAACAGGCCATTCCAGGGTAAGAATTTAACACATAACGTTCAGATCCAGAACGGGTCGTTCCGAATTTGGAACGAGCCGTTCTGGCACCCTTTTGATGTCTCTTAATTTTTAATTAAAAAATATAAATATTAAACTATTTTTTAATAATTTTGATTTACAATTAATTATATCTAACTCAATTAGTAAATAGTTAAAATTTTTAAATATATATTAATAAAAGTTTGATTTAGAGAAGATTTTTTATATTAAGAGAAAGGGTTAAACCTCTCCCCCACACATATATATATAATTACTATGTTTAACTTTGTAATGATTTCAATTTTATTTTTCAACAGCTTTTTGTTCATTACACGTTAGACTTTTGACTAAAGTGGGGTCGTTGACCAACTTATTTACGTAAATGGGGATACTTTGAAAGTATTTACGTCTTTGGGGCTGTCTACAACGGTGTCGCTATGGCCCATAGCGACACCCATGCCACGTGGAATTTTTATAACTCCAGATAAGCCATGAAAGCCATATTAACCAAGTTGTTGCAGCCAATAGCGACACATATATATAGTGTTACTCGTTGTAATGGATAAAAAATGTGGATTAACTTTCAAGCATCAAGCCATTTTTTTTTATTGGAGAAAGAAGTGAGAGTTCCTATTTAGTTTTGCTCCTTCATTTTATATGAAAAATAAATGATTAAATTTGCCAAAATTATAATGTATAATTATTTTAGATTATTTATGTTTTGTTTTGTTTTATTATTTATTCCCTACATTTACATTGTGTTTTGGTATATACAAGAATCAATAAATAATTTAAAAGAATGTGTTAGGAGCAAAATTAAACATTATATATAAGAATTAAAATAAAGTCATGCTATACATAACCAAAATAAAAATCATGCCTTGTCGATCTGGAATAAAAGTTAAATATAAAATGTCAGTGTACATGTAAAGGTAATACTATTAAAAAATATATTAAAAAAAGCAATAAAATCGTAGCAACTTACTATATAATTATTAAAAAAAAAATAAAACCGTAGCAACTTACTATATAGTTTTTTTATCTATTAAAATTGAATTTGATTTAAAAAGATTTGCAATAATTGACACATTATACTCGATCAACTTAGCTAGAGTTTTGGTAACTAATTGTATTAGAACTAAGTATTAAACATACTATAATTTTATTTTATTTTTAGAAGAAAACAAATACTATCACCTTTTTCAAAGCCAAACAGCTTAGACAATAACCATCGAGGATAGCCAAGTGTATATTCTCCCCTAGTATAAGAAACCTTTGTATTGAATGAATTGTATTTATTCTGTGAACTTTTTATTTGTTAAAATTGAATCTGGTGAGATTTATGTATATAAATTATTATTTGCTTATCCCCTAAAAAACACAAATTTTTTCAACCTAAAAACACTAAAAAATACAAGTA